AAATGAAAACCAGCGAAGAAATGGTTAGAGTTGCCAAGTTCCCCTTTAATCCCAGTTTGAAGTATCTTAGCCTCTATTAAAGCTCAACAGGCAAACTATGGAGAGTAGGTATTTCTTTAGGTGAGGCGTATATGGAACATTTACGTATTGTAATGTATGAAGACGACGAGACGTATTCTATATATATTTTGTTGTGCTGAGTTGTGCACTTTCTAACAACGTCCAAACCCAGAGAAATCCATCCCTCGCCACATCCCACCGTAATTAAACTACCTCTTTCGTTACCGCTTTGATGTGAACGACAACGTGCGCTTAACCAGACGTGCGTTCAGCTACAGCAGGAGTTCTCTGGTGAAGTGGTACGGAGCAGATTGAGCGGGTGCGGCCCACGCTGTGCGGACTGCATCAATCAGATAAACCCCATTATGCAATTATCATATCATAGCCTCGGTTTATTTAAATCTCATAAAACACGCACACCAACTGAACGGCATTAATGGATGTAAGACGCCTGTGTTGATGTAGTAGATTTATGTTATGTTATGTTAATTTTCTCTTCTTGAAGAACTCGTTGAACCTATAAAAGCATGTTTTTGTACCCAGAGTAAAGCGCTCGGACGCCCTCCTCCTTGCCGATCCTGAAGAGGGCATGAAACATGCCTTTGTACCGGACCTCCGTGTACTGGGACTGACCCTGGACCTGTAGCCGGGTCTTAGTCAGGTCAATGGGAAATGTGCCTGAGGATTAAAAGCAGAATAATATTAACAATGACACTAAAGATGAACTAAAAAACAGAAAATCAAGGTAATGCAGTTTCACCTGTCATTTTTAAAGTGTTTTCCTCCTACCCAGGTACCAGAAATAACATATTTCCTCTGTCTTTACATTTTGTGCAAGCAAAAGAAAACAGAAAACAAACGTACAACTTTTCTGAAATACTCTCTTTAGGTTACTGCAGGTCGTTAAAATGATAAAATACACAGTGTGGATGTGTCTAACTCTGTGCACCGTATACATCTGCAGTCCCAGGATGATGTGCACCAAAAGAAATGTGATATGCATTCAGGCTCCGGTCCTTTTTTTTTTTAAAGCTACCATTACTGAGCAGACTGCCGATGCAAATTTTTCCCCTGACTGCAAATTCAAGGACTTTAAAACCGCCTTTATTTGCATAGAAACATCTACTGCCGCTGCGTAACAGCCTTTAAACCCGACGACACACATAAGGGTCTACATGTCGTGGTGCATCACCTACCAAATTCTGCGACAATCGAGGCCATCCCTCCGTAGATGAACGGCTTCCAGTTCAAGTTGGCCATCTCCGCGGCGGCGGCTGCTGCTTCCACCGGCTGCAGCCCCGCTAAAAACAACAGCAAACCCCCCAGACAGAGGTCAATGCAGTGCTGCAACTTCAAACAATACAACATGTCGATGGACATTGAGACGCGGAGATGCTACAGATCAACGCGGCTCCTCAGCATCAGCATCCCAGAAGTACTGCGCCGGAAAGAGACGCCCGCTGTGGCGAGCACCGCGGAGGGAGAGCCGTCGTGTTTGTCGCGGGGTTGCTATTGGCTGCGAGGGCAGTCGATCAAAGTTTCGAGCGATTCCATTGGCTGGTGTTGCGAATGGGGGGGCGGGGTCAGACTGTGAGTGACAGTTCGGTGACAGCAACAGGATCACGAGAATAAAATTAAGTTATTTATTATCGTTAACGATTTGAGCGACAGAAACGCTACTTGAGTAATAAAATAAAAGTATTTTTTTTTTGTGGGTTTTAATGTGCACTTTTAATAACTGAAAACCGTTAATTTGAATCGTCTTTATTGCACAAACGGCCGTCCCCAACTGTTTTTGGGCGGTTAGCTCGAAGCCAACGGTCGCTGCTAGGCTACCAGCTAGTCCGCGAGCACTTTTAACAGTTAGCGAGAAGTTACCGTTACATGCAGCCGAAATGTGACGTACCTGTGGTGTCGGGAAAAATGGGCGAAACTGCTATTTGACTTGGTTTTCCATGACTTAATGAATATACGTGGCTTGACTTTAATAAAGTGCAAGCAGAGGAAAAACTTCTCGTCTGCTGTTAGCTTCCCATTTCTGCTAATGTCAAACACACCAGAGTCGTCGTCTTCTTCTTCCTCGGGTTTTAATTGCGGCTGACAGGCGGCTTATACGCGCATTACCGCCACCTACTGGACCGACCGAGTGGTTGATTGCCAGAATTTATTTGTTTATTATAGATAGATAGATAGAT